ATTTTTTTTTTTTTTTTTTTTTTTTTTTATTGAACTTTTTTAAACATCAAATATTAAACGATCAACATACATATGAGAGGGATTTACACATATATAAGGATAATAAAATTAAAATTAAAATAAATAAAAATAAAACATAAAAAATAATAATAAAAAAATAAAAAATAAAAAAATGATAGTAATAAAAATAAAAATAATAATAATAATAAATAAAATAAAATAATAAAAACTAGATAACAGGTGCCCAAAAGCAGAAAAAAACAACCATAACATTACGAATTGTCCTCTTGTTGCCAGGCTAAGTCAATTAAACCCAGTCTCAATCTCTGAGCTGCAGACGCATCCAAAGAGTCCAAAAAAGGGTCCCATGTCCGGTGAAAAAGAAATGGTTTGTTTTTCAACGCCGTAGAGAAGGCTTCCATTGGAATGATACTTATTATAGTCTGTGTCCACTGGCTTAAGGATGGAACTCTATCAGAAATCCACAACACCATAATACACTTTCGAGCGCAGTGTAACAATATATGTAAAAGATCCCTGTTACGAAAGTTATCTGGCAGCTCATCATTCAGACCCAGTAGACACGTTCTTGCACCCAATTGCAGTTGGTACCTAAATATTAAACGTAGCTTGTCTATAACAGATTCCCAGAATTGCAGAATATGAGGACAACTCCACAGGCAATGAAACAAAGAACCAACAGCAGACTGACATTTGTTACAAAGGTTTGATAACGCTGGAAACATTTTATGTCTCTTCTCAGGTGTGATATATATTCTATGTAGGATTTTGAATTGTCTCTCCCAAGTAGAATTCGATGCTAACGCCTTGAAGGGTCGGCTACACAACTCATCCCAGGCCACATCCTCTATAGGGCCTAAATCCACTTCCCACAGGGCCTTAACTTTGTTGGAGTTATCAGTTTTAAGATCACCTAAGATATTATAAATCTTTTTAGTTATACCTTTAAGCTGCGTGGTCTTTAACATCAGCGATTCAATAGGAGAGACAGCCAATCCCCCACTATACTTTCTCAATTTAGAACTGATGAAGCTCTTTACTTGGATGTACTTCAAGAAATCCTTATTGGTAAGACCATACTTAACTCTCATCTGATTAAATTTAAGAAGTGAGCCCTCATGAACCAGGTCACCAACCTTTTTAATCCCTTTTATAGACCAGTCTGCGAAACCACCTTCAAGACCAGGAGAAAAGTCTGGGTTTTCTTGAATAGGAGTGAGAAGGGAAAAGCAGTTACTGTATCCTTCCAACCGCCTGGCCCTACGCCAGATAGCAATCATATTCTTCAAAAGCATATTGTTTTGAATTAGTGCTGAGGATTTCTCAGTGGATGTGTACAGTAAGTTCCGCAAAGGAATGCCCTTTAATGGGGTGGCCTCAGCGCTCAGATAAATGGATTCAGGGTCACTGATAAACCATTCCATAAGGAATTTAAACTGTGCTGCCCAAAGGTATAACGAAAGGGAAGGAGCGGCAAGACCACCCTTCCGTA